GTGCAGCTCGCGCAGCAGCGGTGTCACATGGGAGCGACGAGTCCCTCCCAACACCGCCCGCGCGGCCGCATTCTGGACCAGTTGGAGTCTCCGGGTGCTCCTCAGAGGGAGCCCCATGTAGAGAGCATTACAGTAGTCCAGGCGAGAGGTGACGAGAGCATGAGTGACTGTGCGCAAGGCGTCCCGGTCCAGAAAAGGTATTTTGAATATTAGATTCTGTTATGAATTGAGATAAAGGGAACTTTGGTTACCTAAAACCTGGAAATTATAAATATCAAATGTTAAATTTGAATATTGATGAGAAACTAAAAATTGGGAAAAACCAATAACAGGACATTGATTGAATGTAAAGATTGAATGTAAAAGTAATTAAGATATGTATAAGCTAAAATTTATTGATAAATGTAATAATGATGTTTTTATTTAGTTGATATAATAAGAACTGCATTAGCTTAAATATGAGATAGTAGATATTAAGGGAAAAAGAGAGGAAATAATTGACGTTGTAGTTTGAGATTTGTACTAAAGATTTTTGTATGTTACTGGACTATTGATTAACCCAGCCACCATGTTGCTTTTTAAATACCTAAATGTAAAATTAGAAAATTAATAAAAATATTATTTAAAAAAAGACTGAATTCTGCTTTGCTGGCTATTGCATTGTCTCAGAAAGGTGGGGGAAATAATCCTACCCTTGTCACTTTCTAACAGAATAACATAAGAACTGTTCCAAGATTGAAAATAATACTTTGTTAACAACCCTTCAGTATTTCACACTCCTCAACACTGGCTAATTTCTCCCTAATACCTCATTAAAATTCACAGTGGCTTTGTAGTCCTACTCTAATGGCTCTCCACTGAGGTAGGAATGGTGAAAGTGAGAACTGACAAATGGGTGTAATTTTCTCCCTGCCCTTCTTTTCAGTGTTTATTATCCCAGCTTCCATCCTTTGAGGGCTATCCAGATGATGAGAGTGGCCAAGTTGCAGTTCCACCAGGACATGTCCTCCCAGGCCCTTGAAACCTTGAAACAGGTCAGTTTTGCTCACTGGTCCTACAGTCTCTTTCCTCCTAATTGTTTCTGCAACTTCCTTTCACTCACCTCGCTTTCCAAATGTCAGTCAGCAAGCACTCTCCTACTTTTTTACATCTAAGCCCAGAGGCAATGGCTACAAAGTGAGCTGCTTACAGTTTCCAGGAGAGACTTACTTTAATAGCAGTGGTTGGTAATTACTGTTCAGTATCTGAGGGGGTATCATTAATCACCCCAAACCTTGAATGGCAAATAGCTATTAAGTTGGATGAACAAGAGACTGTTTCAGTACCTTAATCTGCTTCTCCTTTTTAAATATTGATCATGTTCTGCATCTCACTGAACAGGGAAGGCAATGTAAATAGTAGTGGAAATGCTTCCTTTGATCATAAACTAGTAAGAATTCTGAAATTCACCTGAAATATTTGGGATGGAATGCTGATGAAAAAGAGGACAATCAAAATCTGAGTACATTACAGTAAGTCATGAACACATTTAATTCAGTGCTGACCACTGCAAAAAAATGTGTATTATTAAAATATCTGATCGGAGGAAGTTTCTTCATATGAATTATTTGTAAGCCAGTTCAGAATAGCAATAGATTGTATATGCATAATCTGCTCATCATTATTGAAAGGAAATACATTAGTAACTAACTTGTTTCTGAAAGCAGTACATGTTTTCCATTATTTATTTTGTTAACAATTCATTCAGCTCAATAGCAGTCTGAAACCAAATCTGTAAAAGTACTTAAAATAATTTCCTGTGGAAAAATAAGTTACTAAAGATAATTAAATCTATTAGCTTGTTTAAACTTTAAAGCACATTTGGGGAGACAAAAAATAAGGTTTTAGTTATGTGGCATAAAGCAAGTTGGTTGCACATGAATGGTGTCCTATATATAGAAGTTCATTGCATGCAGACCTGAACCTGTTTCAGCTGGCTGCTCCTTATTTGGAGTTTCTTCTAAATTTGTGATAGATTTATAAAATGCACAAGACCTTCTGGAAAAGTCACTGTATATATTTGCTCGAGTTACATAGCTTTGTGACAGCTGCCTTATGTAATTCCCCAACTGATTCTTTGTAAAGTTTCACATATTGTAGTTTAAGTTCCAGTTTCTTGTTTAAGGATGTAAAAGAAAGTTTCTAAAATTCAAGTAATCTATTATAATGCTTTATCTGAGATTGAACACCGATTGTTATCAGATTTTTTTTATGCTTCTGTCTTATTTGTTAGGCTTCTGGCCTTTCTCTCAGTGAGCTTAAGATGGTGCGTGTCTTCTGCCCATTACAAATAATCATTTAAGAATTAGCATTAAGTCATACACTTCTTATATGAACATATGTGTATGTGCACACCCAGATTTGCACATGTAAATACACATTTTATTTGAAGTGATTTAGTGGTTCAGATGCTAGACTACTAATTGTGAGACTAAAATTCCAGTCTGACCTTGGCCATAGATGCCAGTTTGATGGCTTTGGGCTGCTCACTCTTCTCAACTCTAGATTGGAAAGTCCAAAGATCTGTCTACTAACCTGCACTGGACCATCATGAAAGAATCTTCAGTGAAGATGCCTTCATGCTTCAGTAGATTGATTCAGGATAGTAGTAGTAATAACACTAACAATAATAACATTGTTGAAAGCTGATTTTGAGGTGCTACTATCTGTGATAAAATGTTGTAATTAAAAATAAAGTTTTCAGTTAATTTCATGTTATTTCATAACTGTTATTTCTTTCACATTTAATTGATTTTGACATCTAGTCGCTTCATTTGATAGAATTGTTGAATTCCTAAGTCTGACGTCTATAAATGAGCGATCATTTCACTGCATCCCTGGAAGATATCCATCCATGTCAATGTTGTAATCTAGTTTTGCCTGTAATTAGAGAAATAGATTCCTAGCATACCTTCTGGAGATTAAACTTGGGTTAATCTTCATAAGTCCTACACTAAACTGTAATCTCCAAAGACTCCTACAATTAAAGATATTTTAATTATATTTTTTTCAAATTTTAAAAGATTACGTTGGTGATCCAGAATAGACAAAGGGCAGATTTTATGTTTTGATACTAGTAGGACTCTTAAAAAAAAAAAAACTCTGCGAAGTATACAGAAAAATTGAGGAAATGAGGAAGAAGTCTAGCTTCCAAGAATTTTATATCACACAATATGCCAAGACTACTATAAATGATTGGAAATCTGTAAGAATGCAGTAAGTCCTCTGCTGAGACATTAAGCTCTTACCCCAAAGCATGTATAGTCCATCTATATCAGTTTTCCTGCTATAAAGGGACATAACCCAAATGTATCTGCTCCAGAATCACAGGCAGCCCTTTCCAAATAGATTCCATTTGAACTGGTTCCTTCCAGCTTGCCCTATGCATTATTTATTATATATGTGATGTAAATAACACGAGTGTGGCCTTTCTTTGCATCTCTAAGAAGCCTTCGTGTAATTGAGGGATAAAGGAGAAACTGAAACTATTTCCTCAATATCCTGGCCTTTGCTTTGTAGCCCATTAGCATGATGGACCTTGCTCTCTCCTTTCATCATGACTGAGCAGCAGAGAGGCGTATTTGCATACCACTACATGTGTCTCTGATGTTAGGTAGCCTGTCCAATCCAAATGCAAATTAGACATAAATGAATGCGCTGGGCTTTTACTTGCACTTCCTTATCAATTACTTAATGAGTTTTATATTCTTGGGGAGAGAAGCCAGTGTGGTTTTTGATACTATGCTGAGTATCCTATTTGTTTGCTCAGGGTAGCTCATAGTTAAGTTCTTTCCTTTATTTGGCACTGTTGTTTCTATAGATCTGAATGCTAAATGCATTCTGAATGCTAAATGCATTCTGAATGCCTGAGCAGGGGGTTGGACTAGATGACATCCAAGGTCCCTTCCAACTTTATCATTATTATTATTATTATTATAAACCTTTTTTCAGACCATGGAGGAAAACAAGGCAGGACCAGTTCCATAATGCTGCTCTTATACTACTAAGCTGAATTACCTTGAAAGATGCACATATGTTTTCTGTTTAAACTAAACATATCCCAAAGCACATAGCATATTAAAATGTATAGAGGCCAAGCAAACGAGCATCAAGAGCAGCAAATTCCATAGCAATCTGGATAAACTAGTAGAAAAGAGGTTGCATTGTTATGGAATATATGAAGAGACAAGCTGAAGTGACAATCTACACTGGCGAAGTTGCAAATTGTTTTTTTAGAAATGAAATATTCCAGATGGAGATATTTAGAGGCATACCATCAAGGATAACAGAATGTTTTTCTTCTGTATTTCTTTTGCATTTCAGGCTTATGATATTATGAAAGTGACTCATGGGACAGAGCATAGCCTCATGCAGGACCTGATGATACTTAAAGAAGAGTGCGAAGCTGGCATGCTATTAAAATAAAGATGACGTGCAAGACACAACCTAGAAGGACAACAAAAAAAGGAGACTCAGAAGAAAATAAGTATCTTTCTCAACCAAACATATGGCAGTAAAATTGCCATATATATTGAGTAGCTTTCCATTGATCTGAATTCTGCAAGAAAAAATAGTCTAGTTGTTTCATTATGTAATCTTCACATTATTACTTTTGCTACTTCTCCAAATGAAACTTTTCAACAATCAGTAATTCCAGCAAGAACTGCTTCCTGCTGAGAAATGGGCTGAAAAGGCACCAGGAAAATTCCAAGCTACAAGTTCTTTGTAATTGAAAGTATAGAAAATGCTAATTTGTGTAAGTGCATTATTAGATGGGTATAAATTAAGACTCATACCTCCGAATACATTGCAAGTATTTGAATTTGGTTTCATCACTGTCCTTTTGTCCTATCATAAATTGCTCCCTCTTCAAGGCGTTCTCATTTCCGGGTATGCAGTGATTTGTTTTGTTTATTTTAGATTTATTTTTAATCCCACTTTTATTTTATTTTCTATAAATAACTCAGGATGATGAACATACCTAATACTTCCTCCTCCTATTTTCCCACAACAACAACCCTGTTAGGTGGTTGAGAGAGAGAGTTACTGGGCAAAGTCACCCAGCTGGCATTCATGCCTATGGCAGGACTAGAAGTCAGTTTCCTTGCATTCCATGTTCCTTGTATATTTGTTGCACAGCATGCTTATTGTTAGATTATTAATCATGGAAACTGAAGATACAGTTGAGATGCAAACTTCCAACAGTGTCATTTGTTAGCTGTTTGTTCTGAGTGATTCTGCCTTGAGTGATGTATCAGCATCAGAGGAGGAGGAGAGACGGAGGAAGGGAGACAGATAGATGAACAGAATCAATTTATCCCTGAATCATCTGCATTCTTCCTATCTAGTAATACTGCAGTAATGTTTATGCCCCCAGATACAAAAGTTCTCAGAATGTGAATCAGCCAACAACAATTGCAGTTCACTGTATGCTTCCTACTAAAGACATTCCATTAAATGGGGAAGTTCTTACTTCTGAATAAATATACCTATAATTGTGTAGTTAATGTGTCTTTCCAACGCTAAGTGCTCAGTCTCGCATTCTTGTCCAATTTTATCCACCTTGTCTAACAAATTTTATATTCATTTATTTTGGGAAAATAGGCTAGTTCTTACCAGATGGAAGAAATTACCTACACAATTCCCATTCTGAGCAATGTTCTGTCTAGATTTGACTTGAAGCAAATCTCCAGGAGTGCAGAGATTCTTATAACAGAGTTTCTTGGATGGAACAACCCTGTGACTGAACTTGACATTGTACATGACTAAAAACTGAATCTTAGATTCCGAAGAATATACAACCCATCCTTGAAACTGCAGTGTAAATGCATGTTCTGAAGGCAGATATTGCTTGCTTTAAACAAGAACGTTGCTATGTACTTTCTCCCCCCCTTCCTTCCCCCATCCATTTTCTCACTTAAAATGCACACTTCAAATCTGCCAGACAAAATCTGCTCACTTAAGTTTCAGTCCTCTGAAAAGAAAGCTGTAGCTCATTAGTCAAAGACATGCTTTGCGTGTGGGAGGTCCTAGGTTCAATTTCCTGGCATTTCCAGGAGCATCAGGAAAAATTCTTGCCAGAAACCCTGTGGAGATTGTTAGCGTTGATGCTGCTGAGCAAGATGGCTCAAGAGCCTCACTTAGTATCAGGCTGTTCCAAAGTTCCCAACAATCAACTCTTAGAAGGATTTGAAGTTTGCGACAAGAGTGAAATTTTGGGGGCCTTAATTTTTAATTCTTAAATGTCATGTCCATTTAAGTCAGTAGCTTGAAAGTATTTATGACAATACGGTGAAAATACTGTACATTTCAGAGAAAATGAGCACTCTGGACATAAGTCAGAATGGCAACTCACAAATGCCAATACAGGAGTATAATCTCTTCTGAACTTTTGAACGTGATACCGCAAAGGAAACTTCATGCACTTCCCTGGCCCAACATGGAACCTAGTGTGATCAAAGATGGGGTTATGTCAGCCACCCTGTCATAAGCATATTTCTTTTTAGCACAATAAACATTATTAGGAGAAAAGTCCAGATTGGTTTGTATATGACTGCACTTGATATACAGATAATTGCATTTGTGAAATGCTGGGCTCCCTCATGCAGTTCAGAAGTTTCCTTGAAGATAGCTGCTAATCCACACAAAACATAAAAATCAGAAGAAATCTAGTAGCATCCTTTCAGGCTAACCAATTTGATTAAAAGGCATAATCCTTTGTGAACCACAGCTCATCAGATACCCAGATAAATATGGTGATATGGGATTTTAACTGAGGCGGGTGGTTTTTAAGGTGCTGTCATACTCATTTTAATATGTCTCTCCTCATGCAGTGTCTAAAATGGTGTAAATTAAATAAGACATCATCCCCTCCCATTGATTCTAATTGAGTAACATGGGCTGAACTGCAGATCTGGCCTTCACAGGCTGTCAGGTCAACCAAGCTTCACACCTTTTGTATTACTTTCCATTGATTATGATTTTTTGTGCTTGTCTCAGCAGCAGCAGTAAATGGAAAGGGCATTTATTTTTATTTGAGAGCTATTTGTTGGACAGATTAATTTATGGACAATAAATGTTGTAGAGTAGATGTGCTTTGTGCTTTTCTCCCATTGGGGTGTTGGTTGCAGGGGAGAAAAGGGGGGGTTCATAAGTCTCAGAGAGTTAAACAAATGAAGGTGAATCAATTCAAGGTGAGGCAAAAGACTTCTTCCTATGTATATATAAAACAATATTTAACAAATAAAACAATGATGGCATAACTATAATTTGAATATCAGATCAGAAGGTTCTCAAATCATGTCTTGTTCATAGACTTCACTGAGTCATTTGTCAATTCCAGGAACAAGTTTCTAGATCCTTTGTGCAAGTGGTCTACCTCATCATTTTAAACTGCCGTGCAACCAGGTGAAAGACTTGGCTGCACTTCACATAACTGTCTCCTGATCACACAAGTGTTACAGACACACATTTTTTTTTTGTATTTCATCTGACAGTTTCTTTCACATTCACGTCAGGCTAATATCAGTGAAAACCAAGGGAGTCAAAAGTCAGAAAAATTGATTTGTTGCAAGATTGGAGAATGGCAGCGAGGCTCTGATATGGCTTGTCAGCAATAACATCACCTAAAACGATTTTCTGGCTTGGTGTCAGCATTTTTTGAGCAGACTAGACAGAAAACATAACCAGATGAGCTAATGCTATTTTATTGTAAGGCTACTTAACAGAATTTTGCAAGTCTGATATTGCAAATCATCTATCTCTTTTACAGAATGAGAAATTAGGAAGGGTGCCTTCTGAATCCCTTTGTCTCTAATGCAGCTGCAGGCTATGCCATCTCTTATCTGACCATTACCTAGGCAGCATGTCTTCTGTCTCCCAAGGCCTTTCCCATTTACCATTGCACTTGGTCATATGATGGTATTTCTCTTGTTTCCTTTGTTCATACACTGCTTCCTGTTCATAGCCACACTAGATCTTTATTTGTATAGAAGAGCAGAACCCCCATTTTATCACTTAGCCAGGCCTGAGTGGAGAGGTGCAGCTAAGTATCATCAGCATGCTGATAGTACTGCACTCTGTGCCATTGGATAAATTCACTCAGTAGTTTCCTATAGGAATGGGGAGAATGTCAATCCCTGAAGCAGCACACACAGTGGAAGCTGCAAGTTGGATCTCTCACTTCATATCAACACTGATTGGAATGCATCCCAGAGGAAGTACAAGACTGCCTCCTGAAATCCTGAAGCCGGTCCAGAAGGTTCAGTGGTAACAAAAGCTGCTGAATATCAAGAAAAGCAAGGATGAATGCATTAATCTGTATCCAAGCCTACCAGAGGTCATCCACAACCATTTCAGCCCCATACTGAAATCTGACTGGAAAGGGTCCAGATAATCTACTTCTTCCAAAATTATCTGCAGACACCATGTGATCTGTTGTTAATCTTCCCTAAAAATTGATTATTGGAAACAGATGAAAATTGTCCAAAATGATAAGATACGATTATAATTTCTGATCAAGTGGGCTAACACTCTAGTGTTATCAATAAATTAGAAGACAAGTAGTAGCAATGTTACATCAGGATGAGTGCATGTCTAGAATATCTTAGGGGGCCAGACTGGGGAGAGATTATTCTGGAGAAAATCTGTGTCATTCCTAAGGCTCAATACTGACTTAGTGGCATATAATCAACCAACAATATAAAATACAGGGTTTTCTGCTAAGCTAATAAGATACAACTTGTCAGATGGGGTAAAAAACTGTAAAGAAAAAAGATCTGAAGCTGAATATAGCTTTATAAAGATCACAAATAGAGTCATAAACCTGGTATATAAAAGCTTATGGATGTACTCATTTTGCCTTGCCCTTCAATGCAGCAGTTCAACAGGCATATTAATACAGATTATAAAATATAAAATTTTGTTAGAAACTTTCTTTTAATTTTATATGTTGGGTTAGAGCTGGCAAGAATGTCCAATCTATATTTGCTCCTTATTATGCACAAGAACAGATTGCATAATCAAAGAGCTCTTAAAGAGACCTGGATGCCATCCAGGAAAAGAATAGCCACATTGAATCTGTAATTCCTAAAATAGCTTCTGTGTAAGTCTATGCACAGAGAAGATGGTGCCAGCAGAGGTACATTGCAGAAAGCACATTTAAGAAAAGTTGGCTGAGGAAAACAGCAAAATTATCCTCTAATAAAATAAACACCTGGATCAGTGGGTGAACATTCTCCTGTTACTCTGTTCATTAACCTAATTTCAAATTAATCACATTATGTGGGCTGCTTCCCACACAATTGTGACAATCTGTGCCCGTGCTCACAGTGCCTTATATCTTTAAATATTATTGTCTAAAATTATACAATGATCCTTTGGCTTATTATACTCTTTTTTTCCGGCTTATCTAACATCCAGTCTGAATAATATGTCTGCAAAGTAGGCTATTTTGTAACATTTTGATTGCTTTAATTAAAGCATTTATCTATTTTTCATCCTATGGAATCTACACAGTTGTAAACATAAATTGACAATTCATTCTGACAACCTTTAATTGACTAGTCCTTATTATAGCAAAATCATGGCAACTTTTCTCAGACTCATTCAGCTTCTCCCACAGTCCATATGGCTATGTGCACTTTACGAAAAATTAATTGCATTCTTTGAAAATGAAATACGTTTAATGTGATGGAGGAGGAGCTAATTGTACTTTTGCCCAAAAAGAGCCTTAAAACAATATTTCATGAGAAAATTCTTAGAAATTGCTGCAAATAAATGTTATTGCTGTATTTGGCAGCATGTGAGAGGAATTATGATAGGAATATTTCTTGGGAAAGCGTAATTCTAAATTGATTCTAAAAGAAGTCATACTAGAGTCCAACATTATGTTCTGCAATAGCAACCATAAGAAAGTAAAGGAAGCT